CACCCTAATTCCTGAATCCTTGTTCATCGAGTCTACACCTAACACAACACATGCAATAAGAATGATTCATCACTCATACCTGAAATATGGAAAATACTACTACCAATCGAATCAAGTGAAAAATAATGGAACTATATAAATGAAGTTAGGAAGTCGTGTGAGTAGGTGCCTTGATATGATTATGAGCGTAATAAATTGTGCTCGAAACGTGGTCATCAGTAAACATTACTGTACAACACTGTGAGACTTTATCAAAACAAAAATTTACTCATAATGGAATTATACTCTACCACAGTGCACAAGTTTTATTCTTATATCAATATTAAATCTTAATTTTTCTAAATACACTGGTGTTAGACAGCATTCTCACAAAAAAACGCAAACCCTTAAAAACTCCAACATATGCTTGGAAGTGACCGTAGAGATACGTGTATTATGAATGAGAAGTACACAGTCGAACTACACATCTGTACAAGTGCATAATCCGTAATTCAGTACTTCAGACAATAGGTTTCCCTACTTCATACAACCGGTTCCCTTAATTAGTTTGAAAAAAGAACATATTTGCAGCATAATACGAAATCAATTTATAATTCACGAATTCTTGTCAACTGCATACATTCTTAACAATATCAAAATATGAGTTATATAAAGGCCTGAACATAATACATTCATCATAATGACATCAAGTTATCCATAGAAAGTATAAGCAAGATAATTCCGAAATCCGGTAGGTAGACAAATTATTTAGTTTTCAAGAGTTGGTTCTCCGAGATTTGATTGGTTACAGGTCCGCTGACAAACTGGCATCCGTTAATGAACTATTGGAAAACTAGGGGAGTCCATTAGGACCTTTGTTAGCGGACGTTTATATGTCTTATGTTGAGAACTTGTCTCTTGATTTAATTTCTAAATTGCCCTTCTATAGGAGGTATGTAGAGAATATCATTTTGATATGCAACGATCATGAAGATGCCAGTCGTCTATTAGACAGACTTAGCTCTTTACAGAATCATATTAGTCTTACATGCGAGGAAGAAAGTCGTAACCAGCTTGCATTTTTAGACATACTTCTGAGTTGAAGAGATGATGGTTCAATAAGACGATCAACCTACAGAAAGCCCACTTGGACAGGGCAATACCTTAATTTTCACAGTTTCTGTCCATTACAGTATAAGAGAGGCTTGGTGAAATGACTATTTTATACGATTCAGCGTATTTGTACGGCTGATGTTATAGACAAAGAAAACGAAATATTGATGAATGCTCTTGCTGAGAACGGATATCCTTTAAAATTTTTAAACAGGTGTAGAAGTCAATTAGTCTTTAAACCTACAACTTATACCGCCCCTAAGAAAAATGTTTTCATCAAATTACCATATAACGGGGAAATAAACAGTATGATTTTGAGACAAAGGTTGAATTCGATCATCCGAAGAACCTATTATGCAGCCCAGCTTGTAATTGCCGAAAAAGCTAGAAAATGTTCCATTGCAAACCTCAAAAGTGCACCAATGATTATGTCACATCCCACACTATTTACCAATTTTCGTGTGTGTGTGGTCACACATACATAGGGAGGAGTATTTGCGTTTTGCATGTGAAGGTGGGAGAGCATATCCCAAAATGGCTAGAAAAACAAATGAATTATGAAAAACCAATAGCCACAGGTGTCAGATTACCAACTTCGTCTATAGCTAAACACCTAATCGAGATGAACCATAAGACTGATGTTAACTCAGCCTTTAAGGTCATCTATAAAAACGGTCACGGGCGCTTATTGAAATACGCTGAGGCTATAGCTATTCATAAACTTAAGCCCCCCCCCCTGTGTATTCAAAAACAGTTTGTTATTACTCTTAACCTACCTTGGTAATCCTTATTTGATTGGATTACCAAACGTTGTGTTAATCATTCTTAAATTTTTTGTCACTTTGTTTAAATAACTTTTTCATATATCTATCGACTTGACAAATAAATGTGTGAGGGACCAGATTGCTCGAAATGTATAGCGCAAATTCATCACATCACTTTTCAGATAATCTCCGTCTTCTAATAACGCTATCCAAATTTATAAAAGGGACTAAATGTTTTAAACTAGGGAGTACTAGATAGCTGTGTGTCATCCCAGTTTGGGACTCGTCAGCAGCATGTACCAACTAGGGTTCGAACCCGGTTAGAAGTAACATTGTGGGATATAGACAAACAATTAGGTATATTTGGAAATTCAGTAAGTGAAAATCAAAATTGGGTAGAGTATTACGCAACAAAAATAAACACAAAAATCACACAGATAAAACAAATAAGAATAATTCTGTCACAGAAGTAGATTAGTATCCTGCTTCTATCAACCGTATCTGCACTTACACTCGTAGTAGTAAGTACATAGGAAGGACTGAGAGGAGAGTGTCTACTAGATTTTCTTAGCATACTACTGGACGTCTTTGTATGAAAGATAGCAAAGTGCAATTGGCCGACACCTGATTGACACAGGAAATACAAGAGGTCAATCGCGAGCCCGAATAGCTCAGTGCTGGTAACGTCTCTGACTGCAACCCAATGGGGTGACGCGGGTTCGAATCTCAGAAGGAACATGAGTTCCTTCAAGGTTGCAGATATGCCTTGCTGACTGACTTGTGAGTGCCAACTAGCACGAAACCTAGGTTAAGCAAGGCTTCCTGTGGCCGATTGCCTCCAACTATCTAGTACAGGAAATATGGTTAAGATTAGTCAAGCTCTCAAAATAATCAATAAACACAGGAAACCTTCATTACTTCGTATCACAGAGGTCATAGGTATCAAAATATTTCAACCAAACCTTTGTATGCAGCAAGATAGCGTGATAAACTTCTGAATACCATGGTGATAAGTGTAAATGTTTTTCTTGTGTGAATTTTGTATTTGCTTCTCCGGCTGGCTAATACTGCACCCAATATTGATTTTCGCTTATTAAGTTGAACTGACTATTCAGTTTCCCAAATTACCTGATTGTTTGTCTATGTCATAATTTTACTTTTACTTTCCATTCCTACCTTCTCAAACCCTCCATCACATTATACACATAAATTTATTCTTTAGTTCGATTTTGTATCCTATCTTTAGTTTACCCCTGTTTCTATGCAAAATTTGCACTCTGCTCCTATCTTTCTTGTCTAATCCTACCATGAATATTCAAGTGTTGGTTTGCAGGGATTCGATTTAATTGATTACAGGATTCCATCATAAGCAGACATCGGTTAGTGAACCATTGGAAAACCAGCAGGGGTACTGGACAGCTGTTTTGTCCGCCTAGTTTGGCATTCTTCGGTAGTACACATCCACCACCAGGGTTAGAACCCAGGACCTTCCACTTACAAGGCGAGCTTGTAGACCATTAAGCCACTGGAACCTGATCCGATGGCCAGCCTCTGAATTCCAACTTCTGCCAATTCACGATATAGCACAACTGGCACTGGCCAATGTCAGCTGATGACGAAATTCTGTAACCAATATACCATAAATAGTAAACCTTTTCAACGCTGAATAATTTGTCTGCTAACATCATTTCGAAGTTATGTTGCCCATACTTACTTTCTATGAATAACACGAAGTCACTGTGGTTAATGTATAATGTTTAAAATTTTTGTAATGTATACTTTGATATCGTTTAGGCTACATGCAATTGACAAGAATTCATGAAATATAAAACAACTTCAACATTTCCTGCAAATATATTCATTCTTTCTTCGTTCAAAATGACGTTTACAGTCCCATATTAGAGTTGCCTATACAAAGAATTGGATACCGAATGACATCATACTCCAGGCCATCGGTCGAGTGGAACCCATATTGGAAACGATAAGTGGAGCATCCGAGGGTGACATGGAGAACATTGTGTGGGGAGGAGATCAGAGACTATGGGTAATCGTGGGGCTATTTAAAGAGGGCCACCACCACAGAGAATAGGGCAAAGTAGAGTTTTGCTGTTGAAGCCTTATGTTCCACTTGGAACGCAATGGAACCATAATAACAATATACAAACAAATGAATGCCCTGTCACCTAGAAAACAAATTCACTAGGCCGTCTAAAGCACCCACATTTTGTTTTATTCCTTTGCGTGCTGACCAGAAAATAAGGCATCAAACTTGAGCGTTGAAGTTTCAGTAACACTAGTGCATTCTTTTAGTTTTTTTTTACAGGGTATGGTTGCTAGCCTCACCCTCAACCTTCCCATTTTACCGGGCTGACCCCGGACCACGTGAGGCGTGGTCGGCACCACTGAACAACCACCGACGCCCAAAGTAACCACACAGGTGAACAAATACACATTTAGAATTTAATTGATGAATGGTGACTGACTAGCAGAGGAATCCAGGATGCGCACTTGGGACTCGTCAGCTGGATGCGCCTGCATTCCCCAGCGAGTGATGATGTCCCCACCACCGGGGCTCGAACCCAGTGCCCATAGTTTCAAACGCCAAAGCGCTATCCACTAGACCACTTGAGTCACGAGAGCCACTTCTTGTGCAACGGATCATATTAATTATTTCATTGAATTTTTTAGACTTTTCCGTCGATTGATTGGATCGAAGTGCTCGGTCCCAGGTTGAAATGTCGGCTTCTTGTGCAGATGCCTCGATAGAGCTTAGGCGTTTAAAACTATTGGCTTTGGGTTCGAGCCTCGGTGGGAACATCATCACTGACTCACTGGGGAATGCAGGCACATCCAGCTGACGAGTCCCAAATAGGATAGGCGAAATACGCATCCTGGATTCCACTGCTAGTCAGTCACCATCCACCAATTAAATTCTAATTACATGTCCAGACATCGTCGAAGCATCTGCACAAGAAGCCGACATGTCAACCTGAGACCGAGCATTTCAGTCCAGTCAATCGACGGGAAAATTTAAAAAATTTAATTAAATAAATACACATTTAGTTCAGGAATAGACAGAAAAATGACAAATACTTTTGAACCAATATAAAATATTTTTATAAAAAAAATCAATAAATCAATCACCTAGTTCTAAAAGTTGATTTCGACCAAATATTTGAATTAAATCATCTTCGATTTTCACTGAATTCACTTTTACCCCAGAATCGGATGATTGTGAATTTTCGCATTTTGCAACATCTGCAGGAATTGAATTAACGCATGGAAGAGCAGCATTCGTCAAAGAATTATCTGATTGGCTGTTAGCTAGACTTTCATTTGTCTGTCGATCGACTAAAGTATCTGATCCAGAGGATGAAGAATTCTGATTTAATGGAGGACTGACTGATGACTGATGTAGGGAATGAGAATTCACAGGCGCCGAGGATAATTGTGCAGATTTTACAGGATTCACATCAACCAAAACACCAGTTGGCACATGACCTAATTTATATGCATATAAATTGTTAAAAGTAATGTAGTCGTACGGATAATTAAAACAAGAAACTATTTATAAGTAACATTATTTAGCCTTTAAAGTAGAATACATAATGATGACCAGACAAATTAATATCATAATGGATAATCCACTGTGTTCAACTCATTATCCGGAAAATAATACTGAAAGACTATTTACCATATCATAAAGAGTAAATAAATCGATGATTTCAACGAAACAGACAAGACTTAAGATATCCCCAAATCGATTACGCAATCTGCCACTGCTAGTATATGCACACATAATAACATTACGCAGGGAACATGATAGTGAACTACAATTTGACAAAAATGTTGCTCAGGATTTGCTTAGATATCCTGAATGTAAACAGAATGGTCAGTAATGTGTGATTCAGTAGGAGAATTCTCACCAACCACGCAGATGATTACGGTTCGATTCCCGACCGATGTGCTTTATAAACTTCACCTACTTTATTAGCCTGCAGTAAGCCCGGGAAAGATGGGGGTTTGAACATGGTGCTATTAATGCCACCGCATCAACGCTACTGAAACTTCAAAGTCCGAAGCCCTATGTTCCAATCGGTGAGCAAGGAACGATGATGATGCATTTATTGTCGACTGATTATGTTATCCACTAGATCACATTGGATAACACTTTCACATGTGAAATGATAGGTGCAGTGTTCGAGTCTCATGGGTAACACCATCATCATTCACTGTGTGCTGAGAGCTGTCTGCAAGACAAACTCGGCAGACAGCAATTCACGCCAACATTTACGTCCCGAATCGGGGTCAGGAGAATAAACAAGAACAAAGTTTAACCTTGAGGAACTCAACAACCAATCACAGCAAGCTCAGCGTGGGCAGACACGATTCGCAGATATATATCAACGGACTGTCCAAGAAACAGCAATAAACAGATGACAGAATAATCTTCAGCAAGAAAACAACCAATCAGAAGACGTTGCTTCTCCGCTAACAATAAGGCTAATAATAATGCACATAAAAGTCTATAGATATCTGTTGATTTTCTTAATAAATGATCTGTTGCCTGGCGCTTGTCTTCCTTCGCTACAGCTGAAAATGCATGTACATCCAGTGACAGGTCCCAAACAGGACTAAATGTGCATCCTGGATTTTCTATCAGTCACTGTCAAACAAAATAACATAAACAATAATTAAGCAATTGAACAATGTAAATCCGAAAAAAGTTTGTGTGACAAATAGTAGCGAGCTGATAAAACGGACAGCAATTTCATTTGTGTTGAAAATAACCCGGTTTCCATGCATAAAGAAACCATTCCTGTTGATAGTGTGGCGCTTATAGCATACAGTTTGCTAAAACTATGTGGAAGTGGTTCATCGCTTCGGAGAGTTGTAAATGTGCTTGGCTTTTCGGTATAATGCAATGATCACAGAGAAATTTGTAAAACATAAGGCATATGACATTTTGTTTCAGTTCACGGACAGAATTAAAGGTTTTAGGAAGCATAATAATCCTATAATGTCATTCAGTTCTCCTATCCTTTCTTTCGCGTTTCGAGTGGAACAAAGCGTCAGTTTTGAAGTTTCAATGGTGGTTATGTTTTTTACAGCATGAGCTTACCAGCCTCACACTAAGCCATCCTTCTTCTCCTGAATTACTATGGAATGGTAATCTAGGCAAGGATTAGGATTACTTCAACCAGGAATCGAACCCCAGACCATATGGGTGGTTTACGAGGATTCTACATCCTTGAACCACCGACACACAATGTACTACCCTTATTCAGTAGGCTAGCTAGTGAAATCAATAACTTCAACAAACACGAAAATCACAATGTTAACAGTTGCAAAGACATCAATACTTCTGTCTCTAGGAGATATAAATAGTAAAACGTCAGAACGATTTCAAAAAGCTTTCTGAAAAGCATTCATTATAACACATTTATGATACATGCCCATTCAGTCGACTTGTACTGAGTTCATTACACAAAAACAAACTGTACACTCACCCCATCCTTAAGTATTTAAATAGAGCTATGGTGCATTAGTTTAGCCACTCAACTACAACTGCCGGAACACGGGTTCGAATCCCTTCCTATCTGGAAACTGGATAGCTAAATACTGTCAACTGAATGAAAGTGCAAATAGTTGATGGACAACGTTTTGTTTCTTATATATTTAAGCGATTCAGTTGACAAACACACTGGAAACGACAGTTAACATTCCTGAATTTTATTCTACCTAACCTGACACACATCTAACAAGTTCAACTATTCTGTAGAACAGCAGCCAGCAGGACTCTTTATGAAAGTTGGAATCCGTGTTCTAAGACAATATGCACAGGACCTTTCTTTGCATTGACCAGACACAGCTTAATTTTAACTTATGAAGATATTCTCCTCCTTTTTCAACTATAAACTTCTCATAATGGGCACTATTATTATTATTGTATCCTTTAGTTCCTAGAGGAACATAGGACTTCAGCTGCGCACCTCCATTACCTTCTGTTTTCTGACAATTTTTCACCCCGCTCCAGGTCTGTCCACATGCTTTCATCTACTCCTCGCATGACCTCCTCCAAGTCATCCTCGCACTGAAGACCAACTCGCCGCCTCCCTTTCGGGTTCCACTCGAGGGCTTGTCTAGTGATGTCACTTGATGGTTTCCTCAGTGAAGGTTTATTTTTACATGAACCATAGACAACTACAGAATCACTGAACAAAGGTTTCATCCCATTTCAGAAGTCTTCAGCAATAATATAGGTCAGAAGACATGTGTATTGCGCAGTAGTTCGCCCTGTCTCTCTGTGTAGCTGTGAAATGTAGCCTTTCAAGGTGGAAGATCTGAAGAGATTGGTTGTCTTTGACCACAAATGTTTGCGCTCTATCATCTCTCGTGTTAGTCAGCATAATATGGTGAGGTTAGATGTGAAGTGTTATATAAGAAGGGCAAGTCAATGAATCAGGTTGTCAAGCTACATCAACTGAGGTAGAGAGCTAGAACGCATCTTACACACTAAGCCATCGTATCTCTCGTCGAGTAATTATATTGGCTGACATAGGATTGCATTGGATAAACGCTAGGCGTGACCAAACCAAAACCTGCCATCAACCCATGAAGTCACTAACTGTTGGTTTTAGTCACATAGGGAGGTGTAGATTGTCTCATTGGGGTCCTCAGTCAGTCTTTATAATTTCTCAGATCCTCTAAATTCTCATGTTTTTCTATGCTACTAATGTTACTCTCACCCATTTCTGCTGATTACAGTCATTTTAACTGTTCCGCTCCTATCTCTGTGCACATTCCTGTTCAGAAATCTATGGCGAAATTAAGTCAGTCAGTCAGTCAGTCTTCTGTAATAAGTATTCATGACCAATGCAAAGAATAGTACAAATTTACAGAACCCAATCCAAGTTTATATTCAACTGATGGATATTATCTGAGCATCCATTTACTTGACTTAACATTTCGTAAAAAGCGAGGGTTGACAATTGCCTCCAATTGCATTTCACGAGGAAAATTAGAAAGGCAGATGTTTAGAGAACACATAGCCTGACACATCGATTCAAGCCACTGTACTTATTGGTATATCGATGGGAGTAGTTAACCGACAGAAGAACAAGGAATCAAAACATAAACAATCTTACAAAGCTTTCAGAATGAAAGATATAAGCCAAAAAAGATGTTCATTAGAATATCGACAGCAGAATATTAATGAACACAATCGCAACAAGTCAGAAAGACTTCACTTCATATACAATGACTGACTGACTGGTTTCAACATAGAACTTTGCACCGACATGCACCAGTTCCAGTCACCACACTTCACTCAGTAAACAAAGCAAGAGAAGAAAGTAAAAGCGAATGCAAAGTAGAGACAGTAAACAAAGATATGAGACAAAAAGAATAGCAATACCGAAGAACAATATAGTTTCATTGGGTATTATAAGTCACAAGGAGTGAATGTATCTACTCTGTCAATAAGAACGATTTCCAGCCATATCACCAACTGTCTCCAGCCATTGGTTTTTACTGTCCCGAGGACCCCAACTAATCAGGAGGTATACACCTTCCTACCGAACTGGCTTAAACTAACTGTTGTGGATCTCATTGACTGATGAGGCCATTTTTTGGTTTCAGAACCGCTGACTCTTTTCTAACCTGATTCATCCTATGTCAGCTAAAATTGCCTGTTGTCAAGGAAGGTGATGGCTAGGTATCATCAGTCACAGATAAACAACTTGTTCTGATGCATGTATAGAGATATTTATTTCAGTTTATCCGTAATGTAGCTGAAATAATGTGTTGAGTTAAATGCGATACTGACATATTTAAAGCAGTGCAACCGCGAATTCAAACCTCATCATTTGACCGAAATTTTTTACGTGAAACTACACGCGTAACTTCGTGCACTTTTCACACAGGCATAATAGTTAGTTATCGAAATTTTTCTACTCAAATCGTTTAAAATTTCCAGATATTCCTAAAGAAATAAAGCAGGATAGAAAAAAGTTATATCCAGTATACATTCCAAACCTTAAAGGAGAATCCAAATAATCTAATAACACTTCTAGGTGTTATGCACTAGTTTCCCCGTCGCCAAATTGTTATGTTCTGGTTTCCCCGTCGCCAAATTGTTATGTACTCGTCGCTAAATTATTGTTATGGACTGGTCGAGAAACTAATAGTCCTGACGCGAGAAGGCGGAAATCAGAAGACCACTAGGTTTGCGATGATACTTCTATTGTCCAAACACAAGGAGACGAAAATAAATGGTCTCACACCAAAGTGGTAAGCAAGTCAAGTAGTTGTAAAGTAAAGTAGTTCACACAAATTGTGAATGCGAATATATATAAATAATTCAGACAAGCGTGGGAAAAATCATTAGACAGTCTTAACATGAATGGCTAATTATAATGGAGTGTCGATCCAATTATACATAGCGAATATAGCAGACATGCCAACAAACATATATGGATATATGTCACCAAGCAACGGAC